TCTAGACTTTAAAAAATGGGGGGAAATGATAGTGATCAGAAAGATATGTGCATCAAATTTCTAAAAATATAATCATGTTTAAAATTCTCCTTCTTTAGTTGTCAAATCACTTGTGGAAAACGTGTTAACTTGTTTCATACTCTATACTGTGAATTTTTCCTTATTAATGTTGTTATTAAACCCTATAGTACATATGTTATTAAGGAGCTTCCGAATGTCTCCAGTACCAGAGCTCTGCTGTCTGTCCTAGATGTGTATGGAAATAAAGCCATAGTACCAAAGAACTTAAAAACCTAAAATGGCAGAGAGGCACATACTTTCCCTGTTTTTAGAGACTTCAGCAATGCCTACTGCCCATGATTTAAAGAGAGAGATTCAATTTCAAAGGCCCTACTAAAATAAATCTCACAACCAATTACCATTTTTTAATTCTCTTTTTATTTGTGCAGTGGACAAAAAATTGTCCTTTTATGTAGTATTTTAGCAATTTTAAACCCTGTACTGAAAATGATTGAAGAAATTGAGACATAGCGTGAGTAAAGAAGAACATACCATACACTGAGCTTTTGGTGAATAGTTTACAGCTGCATTTACAGATGTTAGCGTGGCTACACTGATTTTTTTCTTAGTTATTTCCCAGTAAGGTGTTAATCCAGCTACTTAAGAATAGTCCAGCTACTTAAGAACCAGTGCCAGTATGGTAACAAAATGCTAGCAAACATTTTTTTTTTTTCTTCTGAATACTTGTTCCAGATATACTGGAAAATAGTGGAACTTACCTTGTTCTAATTAGTGGTGCATCAAAATTATTCATCAGATGTTTTCTTAGACAAGAATTTGTGAGTGCACATATTGGGTTTGATACATTTATTTAAAATTCTGTAAAATACACACATAATCGCATTGACTATTAATTTATTCAAAATACTTTGCCATTTGCATGTCCTAAATTTTAGTAAATTGTTTACCTAGAATGATTATTTCCAGTGTAAATTATCACAAAGCATTTAAATGCCACTAATTTTAATGAGAAATAAGCATGCTGGCACGGTAGTGAATAAATGAACCAATGACTATGTGACTGAACTAGCTTACTGAATTTCAGCGTGACAATATAGTTTAAATCCTTCTTACTATTTTCAGCATGGAAATCAGAATCTATTCTGCTAACCTTCTGAGCTTCTAAATATGGTGTCATGCAAGGGAGTGTTTAAAAATTAGCATTTAAAAAGAAACCCACTTGCTTTAAGTTTAAGCTGACACTGTTCCTTTCCTCTGTGGAAATGAAATTTATTAATCATAATAAAACCATCATATTCTGAAGGTAGAGGTCACCCCGAGGAGAAAAAAAGTCTATTCATCACAGAGGAATTTCAATGCATTTTTTTTCCCCCCAGATAATATCTGAGCATGTGTTCTCTCCCCTTTGGAAATATATTCTTCCATGTTTGTGCTTACATATGTCAAGTGTATTTAGGAGGGTGCAAGAATGAGAATTTTGCAATTAATTTTATATACTTTATTTTCTTCTACAGAAGATTTGGAAGAATGCTTTTTACATTTTATTTTATTTTATTTTATGTTTACATTGCACACATTTGTTCAAGTGGACTTTCAATATCCTGTAAAAGAAAAGGAAGAAGTGTTTCTTATTTTAACAAGAATATAAGCATTGCTAATTCTGAAATATCATTTTTATGTTAATGTCACAGTACAAACTTCAGCATTATCACAATATAAATGTAAAACATTCTTTTTAAGGAGCAAGGATTAACTTAGGTCACAGTTTTCGTGTTAGGATTGCTTCGCAACTCTCGTTTTAAGGAAGAAACATGGTTTACACAGTAGGATGAAAAAAATAATGTAAAGCACTCACAATAAGTTATTACTGCCTTGGCAAAGAGTAATAAAAATGTACGCAGAAGTAAATACTGGGTTGAAAGAGTCATTTTTTCTTTCTTTTGAAATTGCTTAATGTGTTTGTTTATCCATATTTTCCTCTTAGTTGTCCAGATTTCTGTAAAATATTGATGTAATACTATTAGCAAAATGTTTTATTACATCAGTGTTGTAAACTGGTTAGTTACTTCAGTAGTTGGGTTAAATACACTAATAATTGAATAAAGCCTGAGCACTATGTATTCGGGCTTGTTCCTTCCTTACAAGTGGCCCTTGCATTTAGGCCATTTAATACCCTGCCATGGGTGAGCCATTAGACCTTCAGTTTTGTGGGACACTGAGACATAGTCAAGGATCCTGCAGGAATGGGGTGCAGTAGGGAGGCAGAATGCAGCCCTACGGCAGGAAATGGACCAGAGCAATGGGGGAAAAAGCTCACAGAGTAAGTCCCAGTGTAGTTAATGGTTTACACTAGACCAAAACTAACGTAATTCTTACAGATCTAAATTTACAGTCCTTGCTCAGTACTGCTGTAATACCAGTTAATTGGGGGGGGGGGGGTTCCCATTGCTTTAAAAATAACAGTCATGACATTAAAGCATGTATAATAATAGTACATGCAATTCCTCCTCCATGTTACTAGGGATATGAGGGAAATTTATAGTGCTGGAAACAAGTCTAGCTTTAAATTAATCATTTTCCCTTTCTAGATGTTCTCTTAATGTTTGAATGAGATTTGGCTTGAGAGAATTAAAATTATAATGATGTTTAAAATGGATTCTCAGACTTTAAAAATAGGCATACAGAGGAAATTAAGGTGCGTTCTTCACTTTAATGTAGATGAACAAGACACACGAGATTCTGGTATGGCTACTATCAAAGCTAAGTGTTTTAAATCTCTAAATATTATAATGTTTGCATCCTAATGCGAAGGGTTACCGAGGCTGAGGTTTATGGAAGTTTTTCTGACCAAAGAGGCTTCAGAGTATGGGGTCAGGGTCAAAGCTGCTCGAAGAACTCTTACGCCCCCTTTCCAACTCAAAGGATCACCAAGTGTCATTTACCCAAGACAGGCTGATGTGAGCTGGTTTTCCTTCCATTTTTTTCAGTGGGAACTGCCTGGTTTCTTTGTTGTTAACTGCCTTGGATAATTTCCGAAGCTCGGTATTCATGGATACCAAGTATTTAAATGGAATTGATATATAAATTTAATCCTTCACTCATCAATATATTGCATGCAAAAGAAGAATTAATATGTTTTATACAAGTCTTTTACATGTATTTTCCTGAGTTTAAGACCATGAGATAGAAGGTGATTGCCCAGCACGCTGCTTCCCCTAGATATTCATATATATCTTCAATACCTATGAAGACTTCTCCGCCCAAAACTAAAGTAAATATAGCTGCGGGGTAAGAAAGAGAGTCCACATTCATAAACTTGTGGTACTTTCATAGCTTTAACAGATTAACTCCTTTTTAATTTATTATCTCTTAATAGAAAGTTGAATTTACTGAGTAACCAGGATAGTACCACTGAAGGCATTCAGCTACTATGGTTGTACTTTGTAGTGAAACATCCAGATTGTGCCATAGAATACTTTATAGGAACATAGGTTCACTTTACGTTTGCTCAAAATGCCAGACTGTTGCTGGAAAAAGATGGCTTATTCACAATACCGAATATTAACCAATGTACACTTTGAAGCTTGTACTTACTGAACGTTTTTCTACTTTTTTTTCATCAAGATATGTCGTTATATATCCTTGGAAAAGGAAGAGCATATAACTTCTGCAAATCTGTGACCCTAGGCTTGGTCAGAGAGTAAGAGACATTTTTGTAAAGTCTCTGCCTTTTCAGTGCTGAACCCTTTTGCTTTTAGATAGCACAGTTGACCCAAGAGGTGGCTTACTGGGGTTTCCATACGCGATGAATCCCTCATACGCTTGCAAATGTTGGCTCAGTGAAATGGAGAGTTAAAGACTATCTTGTCTGTGGTAATTTCTGCTCCTTCCTTGAAGATGTCACTGGGTAGGTAGGAATGTCTAGTGCAGATAATTTGGACCTCTTCTCTACCTCACATCCAGGACCCACAGTAGTAGGTGGTGGAGGATTGCATATGCCATGGAAACATTCCCTTCTCAGCTTTCCCTCAGCTGATTATCTAGGAATCGGCTAATCAGATTCCGCTTGTGGAGGAGCAAATACATGATAATAAAATAGGACAACTGTCCTCTTTTCAAAAAAAGTAAGTTTGTATTTGTATCTGAAAAATAAGTTAGTTACACAGAATGAGACCAGTCTGGGTTTACTGTTCACATAAGGCTAAAAAAAAAAGATTTTTTTTTGAGAGATAGCAAGAGTATTATTAGAACCTAACTTGTTTACTACATTAACCCTTGTATGCAAGACACCACTATAATTTTAAGATTGCTTTTGTTGTTATATGTGATCAAATGGTATCAAATTCTTTGATTACGGAAAAAAATGTTAGACACATTCAGTGAAACCTGTATCTAGTTGGCATGTCCATCTCACTAATGGTAACTGCATTCAGACTCGGACTGCGAAACAAAGCTATGTATTTCAAGGTGAAGAGGAGGACTGGGCCAGCAAATTGACCAGGTGTACGTGTAAAGAAGCTTTGAAGTAGTTTCAACTATAAGGATTCTGTATGGGGAGAAATGACAAAAATATGATTTTCACATCACTGTCTTTGCCTGGTTGTAGCAGGAACTTGGCCTGAAAATTGAGGCTTCAGCCGTGCAAGTATCGTGGCTTAGGTGACACTCTGTCTCTTCTATAGAAAGACCGGGAATGTGCATTAAGCATGTTCCTTAAAGGCAAGTGCCTGCCATTGTTCTGTGGCCACTCTCCTTAGCCTGATGCTGATTCTTAATAGTCTAGTAAAGCTAATTATACATTTATTGTCATTTGTAACCTTAACATTTCTCAAAGGATATTGCTTTTGAAACTGCAAAGTGAGTTTATCTGTAATGAATTTTGATAGAATGGAATATTTCATTACAATCATTTTGTTAATTTGGTAATATCTTTTTTAACTTTTTTTTTGCATTAATCTTCAACTTTATTTTCTTTTCAGTTACGGACGAGTTTATGCTGCAGACCCCTACCACCACACACTTGCTCCAGCAGCCACCTACGGCGTTGGTGCCGTGGTAAGTGATCATTTCCTCCACTTCCTCATCACTGTCTTCCCCGTCTCCCCACGCTCCACTCTCTGCTTGGATCTTAGCACGGTTGACATCTTCTCACTTTTAGTTAATTGAATTTGTCTCTTGTGCTAACGGCAGCTAAAATGCCACATTAATCCTCCCAGTAAACTTGATAAATGTCTTAATTTCTTGGCAATGTACTGCATGTAAGTTATTATATTTCTAATTTTGCAAGTATCACCTAGCTGAGCACTTACCTTAATGGAATAATTAGTCATTTTGATAATTAAATCCATCACTAACGGAATGCATTGTCAATGCAGAACATACTTTCTTTTTTTGCCTTGCATTTACATAGCCCCCAGGTTCAAGTCACACCAAAGATTATAAGAGCTGTGCCAAAGATTTCAGGCTGCTTCTGTCAGTCAGCTCAAAACTTGACTGCTTTTATCTCCCTATTCTTGATTATAATTAATATCTAAAATGGTAGCTGCCTCCCCCCCCCCAAAAAAAAAAAAAAAAAAAACAAAAAAAACCCCAAAAC